TTTTTTTTTTTTTTTTTTTTTTTTGGTAACATATTTTTCCTGCACTTTTTTTTTCTGTTTATTCAATTTTTGTTGTTTTTTTTCAAAAATAAAATAGGTAGAAAAAAATTTTGTTGAAAGTGAAAAGTTATCCTACAGAAGACAGAAAAAAAAGAAGAAAGAAAAGACAAATGAATTAAAAAACAAACCATAGCCAAAATATAAGCGATAATAAAAAGCAAAACAAATTTGAACATTCTCAGTTGCTAAGTTTGTATTTTAGTCAACCATATCGAAATTGAACAATTTTTTTTCGGTAACTCAACAAAAGCAAAAAAAAACTGAACTGTCAGTACTTTTTATTTTATTTTTTCAAGTATACTGTAAATTTTAACGATACGAAAGCTAAAGAAAAAAGATAATAAAGTAAAATGAAAAAAGGCAGTAGTAAAGAAGTTTTTTTATAGTTCTAACAATTCAAATATTTTTTAGAACTTTATTTCTTCATTTTTTTTTTTTTTTTTGCTGATTTTTAAGCGATAAACAAATTCGAAAAAAAAAGTTTTTGAGAATTATACAATTTTTTTTTTAGTTTGAAAAACAGTTTTTTTTTTTCTGCTTATTATTAGAGGTATTACTGTATGCACTATGATTTTTTTCATTGCTGCCATTGTTTATACTGTCATTAACAGTAATACTGATACTAATACTGCAAATTGATGATAATATTCAATATGAATACGAAGAATAAGAATAAGAATCAGTATAAAAAATTGAAATCAAAATCAGAATAAAGATTGAGAACAATACCAGGTAATCATCAATATTTTTGTTGTTGTCAGCAAAACTATCATTTTCACCTGTACCTTACTCTTTTTTTTTTTTGCACTTATATCAATTATCTTAGAGAATAAATTAAAAAAAGACAAAATGTAGAGAAAAGTTTTTTTTTTGAATTGAATTGCTTTTATTTTTTTATTACTAAATTTATTAAAAAGTACTTTTTAGCAGTATTTTGAAAAATCTACTTTTTTTTGACTCAAAATGTTTCTGATGTTTATTACCGTAATTGATAAAATATTATTGTTGCTATCATTACTGTAAATTTGTTATTGTTATTGTTGTTGTTATTATTTTCCTTATTGTTATTGTTTTCATCATCATTTTTATTTTTATTATTATTATCATCGATGTGTGTTGGCGATGTTCGCCTTATCACTGCTTTGAGAAACAATTTAGTTGGCGTTGGCAGAGTTTGTAATTGTTACAGCTTAGACGGGGCAACATAATTTTGGTTGCCAATATTCTGTGATAAAAAAGACTTGTAGAAGTTAAATACTTGAAAAAAAATATATATATATATATAAGCAACAGTGTTCTTAGGATATGTATCAATGTATAGACTATGCGTTTTTATGACAGATTGATACCTAAGTTAATGGCGTAATGTTTGATTAACAGGAACTAATGTAGTGAAAAAGATGAAGAAGAAGAAGAAGAAGAAGAAGAAGAAGAAGAAGAAGAAGGAGAAGAAGAAGAAGAAGAAAGGAATCCGGAAATTGTTCAGGATTGTTTAAAATTTTATGTGAATAAAAATTTATGTGGTTTTTTGTTTTTTTGTTATACAATTTTATCTCTATCTGCTGTATTCATGTTTTCAGTTTTCAGTTTTATGTCCTGCTGAAGATATATTAGGAAAAAATAGAAAGAGGGAAAAAAGAGACGATAGAAATAAAGAATAAAAAAATACTTTTTTTTTTAAAAATTTATATTTTGTTTTTTTTTTTTTTACAGTTTATTTTTTTATTCACCTTTAGGGCGAAAAACAGAAGAAAATGTGAAGAAGAAAAAAAAAAAGGGTAGACTTTGTCAAATGAAGTATTCATTTTTTTTTTTCTTCTGAGTGTATTTTTGTTTTTGTAGATATAAACAGAAAAAGAAAAAGTGGGTTGGTTTTCAGTTTTACACTAAAATGATCAGTTATAAAAAAAAAAAAAATTAAACAGAAATTAGTGGGGCGGATCTGATGATGGTGGAATATATATATAGAGGCCTAATTAGACTACTATAAAAACCTTAAGAATTTAGTGCAGAATCTAATACTGTCTTCATCTTAAAATAATTGCAGCGACAACTATCCAATAGCAACATAAATTTTTGCTATTGTTTT